CAACAGAGGAGGCAGGGCTAGGAGAAACAACAACAATTACAGCATCTGAAAATATGGGACGGTTGGGGATGGAGGGACGGTTGGGGATGGAGGGACGGTTGGGGATGGAGGGACGGGGAGGGGGTGGTGAGGTGGAGTGGGGGATGGAAGAGGAAAAGCGGTTGCCCCAGGAAAATCAGTATCAGGTGACTTTTGAGTCGACTCAAACGTTGCCCCAGGAAAAACAGTATCAGTACCAGCAGCAGCAGTATCATCATCAGCAGCAGCAGCCATATCAGCAGCAACAACAACAATTACAGCAACAGCAGCAGCAGCAGCAGCAGCAGCAACGATACCTAGAGCATCAACAGTACTCTCTGCAGGGGCAACAGCAGCAGCATCACCAGCAGCAGCAGCACTACCAGCAGCAGCATTACACCCACCGGCATGGGGAATTTGCGGTATTGCCTGGCGAGGAGCATCATCAGCAGCAACAGGAGCAGCAGCCGCAGCACCATCAGCAGCAGCAGCCGCGGCATCATCAGCAGCAGCAGCCACAGCACATAGTGCTACCAGCGGGCAGCAGCTCTCGTGAGCAACAGTCTCACCCACCCCAGCTGCACCCACCCCAGCAGCAACCACCCCAGCAGCACCCATCCCAGCAGCACCCACCCCAGCAGCAACCACCCCAGCAGCACCCATCCCAGCAGCACCCACCCCAGCAGCAACCATCCCAGAACGAGCAGTATGTGATGCTACCAGCAGGTAGCAGCTTCGATGAGCTCATGCTAGAAACCAATGACCCTCTCGGTGATTCCCATATGCGTGCTACAGAGGGTTTTGGTGCGGTGAGAAGTGGTTCTGGGCGATTTGATGTGGTGAGCGGTCCTGTGGAGGGGACGCAGCAGCAGGTAGAGCAGCAGGAGGCGTTTCAGCAACAGTTAAGCATTCATCATCATCATCATCAGCAGCAGCAGCAGCAGCAGTTGTATCAAGAACAGCAGCAACAGCACCAACACCAGCTGCACCCACAACAACAGCAACAGCAACAGCAGCAGCTGCCAACTCTGTCACAGTACGAAGAACCGTTTCAACAGCAAGAGCAACAGCCGTTTCAGCAGCAACAACAGCTATTTGAGCAACTAGAGCAGCAGCCATTTCAGAAGCAACAGCAGCACCACCAACAATTGCAGCAGCCGCAGCAGCAACAGCAGGGCTATCAACTAAAACAGCCACCGCCAGAGCACTGGTATGAGTCAGGACCGGAAGCTTCCGAACAGTACTCACAGCAACAAGAGCAGCCATTTCAACAGCAGCAGCAGCAGCAGCAGCAGCAGCAGCAGCAGCAGCAGCAGCAGCAGGAGTACCAGCACCAGCTTCACCACCAGCACGCACAGCAGCAGCCATTTCAACCACAGGAGAGAGCTTACCAACAGCACACACAGCAGCAGCAGCCCATGCAGCAGCAGCACACACAACAGCACACACAGCAGCAGCACATGCAGCAGCAGCACACACAACAGCACACACAGCGACAGCAGCAGCCATTGCAGCAACTGCAATCTCAGAGGACTATTTATCAACATCACAGGCCAGCAGCAGTGCCCAGACGACCACTGGGAGACGTGGTGTCGAATAAGGCTCCGGCTGTAGTGCTTACAAGAGGGACGGCTGTAGCAAGAGAAACAGCAGCAGCTGCTGTGGGGCCCACGCCAGCTGTCGTGATGGGATTGGACGAAGAGGCGTGGAAAAGGGCCGGGATGGTGGAAAGGAGGGAGGTGGAGAGGGAGAGGACGGGTGGAGTGGGAAGGATGAGGCAGGGTGATGAGAAGCAACAGATGTGGCATCAGCAGCAGATGCACATGCAGCAGCAACCGCAGCAGCAGCCACTGGTTCAGCAATGGCAGTTACAGCAGCAGCAGCAACAGGAGCAGCTGCAGCAGCATACACCGATTCAGCAGGGTATGGCACCTTGGCAGCAGCAACAACAAGCAGCGCAGCAGCAAGCAGTTCAGCAACATCAGCAGCACTACCAGCAGCAGCAGCAGCAGCAGCAGCAGCAGCAGCAGCAGCAGCAGCAGCAGCAGCAGTATCAGCAGCAGCAGCACGAAGTGGCACAGCCAAAACCACTTCGCCTGGTTCTTCCGAAGTTTCTAAGAAGCAGCAGCAGTAGGCGGGGGCAGGAACAGGGGCAGATTGGGACAGGCAGGGAAGCGGAAATGCAGCCCATGCAAGCGCCAATGCTGACACAACCAGTGTCGCAAAAATCACTTGTGCAGCAAGCATCCATGCAACAACTATCGATGCAACAACAACCATCCATGCAACAACCATCCATGCAACAACCATCCATGCAACAACAACCATCTATGCAACAACAACCATCCATGCAACAACCAGCCATGCAACAACCATCAATGCAACAACCACCCATGCAACAACAGCCATTCATGGAACAACCATCGTTGTCACAACCAGCAGTGGACCAATCACAGGCACATGTATTTCTTCAGCAGCAGCAGCAGCAGCAGCAGCAGCAGCAGCATCACCAGCAGCAGCAGCAGCAGCAGCATCACCAGCAGCAGCAGCTTCAGGAGCCACAGCAGCAGCAGCAGCAGCAGCACGGTGATATGTACTCCCAGAGAGAGTATGGTGAGCCGAGTATGCACATGCATGAACATGCCATTCCTATGCATGGGCATGCCATGCCCATGGCCCCTCACGGTCGTCAGCAGTACCATTCTATGCCTGATGATCAGTCTATGTTGCAACATGCAACCCCCATGCAGCAGCATCCTAGCGACCTGCACATTTCATCATCTTCACAGTTTTCAGTAGCACCAATGCAGCAGCAGCAGCAGCAGCAGCAGCAGCAATACCCTGCATTGCCTCTGCAATCATTACCAGCAGCACCAACAGGAGCAGCAGAAACAGCAGCATTAGTCCCAGGAGAAGCATCGACACAAGGATATGAGTTTGCGGCTGGTGTAACAGTGCAAGTGAAGGGCGACTGGAAGGTGTACGACAATCAGATGGCTAGGATGCATCCAGATGACATGCACGGTCACAGCTGATTTGTCGGCCCAGATGAACACTTCCAGTAAATATAGCCCTTGACGATACGCAGTTAGTGCCCTGTGCTGCTATGTTATTATTAGTGCAATGTGCTGTTATGTTATGACTAGTGCTGTTATGTTATGACTAGTGCAGCGTGCTGTTATGTTGTGAGATGTTTCAGTTCGGTTTGGAGCTACTAGGTTGGTTGTTTCTTTCAAACATCATAGCATCGTTGTATATGATGTTGGTACAATATGAACCTTGGTTCCCTGTTGTTCGGATCAAACGCGTTACGTTCTCGAATGGACTGACGAAGCACCTCATCCAACCAAATACTTCCACGTCAACAATTCATGAATGCCACAACACGCCAGCTTCATGGCTCTTCAGGAGTGCAACTTTGAAATTTCCGCGAAATGAAAGCATCGAACCAGCAATCCCAGTGCCACACAATCCAGTCTCGAAACCTGTGGATGTGGTATGCAAGCCACGTGGCTCTGAGTACATGCACATGACCCCCACTAAGCTTCATGAACTGCACATCCAGCCGTCAGTCACTCCAGCCCAGTCGAGATCCGACCGTTCGCTAGATTTTCCCGCACCGTCAGCAGGAAAGGCTTGGTTCCAGAATTCATCCTCGTCACCTAGCATCTCAAATTCTATGTCCATATCGAGGGTCTTCTAAAATTACTTCTTGGCTTCACACACACATTTTCCTAGACTCGAGCTGCTAGAACGAGGGTCCTAAGAAATTACACACAAGCGATTCTCGTTTCTCAGAGCTCTACGCGTCGCAGTCTTCTAGTTCCTACACCCTAGTCGCACGAATTGCGCGTGCACCGCATTCCTCGTGTCGGAATCTCTTTCCTTTCGGTTCCACAATGGCCACAACCATCTCGTCTCATTGTCTATCTGGCATCAAGTCCACACCCGTCACGAAGCAAACCCAGCTTCAACGTCAGCTGCAAACAGCCAGCAGAGTTTCGCTAGCTCCCGTGTCCATCTCAGCTCCGCGATTCGCGGCGGGATCTCAGGGACGATGGAGCGCAACCGGCGGCGCGACCACCCGAGCCTTGGCTGTCGACGCGCAGCTCGCAGGAGCGGCAGCGCCGGCGGCGGATCAGACGGAGAGGCCAGTGATACTTGAAGTCAAAGGCCTGAAAGCCGTTATTGCTGAATCCGGGAAAGAGATTCTCCATGGCGTTGACCTCTGCATTCGCGAAGGCGAGGTGAGACCTCCCGGAATTCTTCTCAAAATAGATTTATTCCACAAGATACGTAGCTCGAAACATCAACCGCGTCTTATCTGTAGTTAAACGTGGGACTTCAGTGCAAGAGCCAAGTCGCACTCGAAGTTTTGAGCTTATCGCAAATAACTTCTGAAATGGGTTCATCGTTCGTTTTCCACCCTAAGCGAGACAGTCGGGATACTCGAGTCGTGAATTCAGGACCTATTATATTCTAGTACGTCGTATTACGTTTCGCCTTCCTGCCCTTGTTTCAAGGCATTTCAAGAATTAACATTGTCACATTAATTCAATTAATTTCATCTTCCTTTCTTGACTACTTCGTGCTCCATGGGGCTGCTGGTTCAGGTGCACGCGATCATGGGGAAGAACGGTTCGGGCAAGAGCACTCTTTCCAAGGTGAGACTTCGCCGTTTGAACGGCACTGCAGCATCTGAGAACGCTCTCAGGTGCATATTCAAGTTTTGAGGTAAATGGTGCATTCTTAGATGCACGCGATCATGGGGACGAACAGCTCTGGGAAGAGCACTCTCTCCAAGGTGAGACTCCGCCGTTTGGATTGCACTCTTGCATCTGAGAAGGAGCGCTCAGGTGTATTTTTCAGGTGTATTTTCAGGTGTGTTTGTCAGGTGCATGGTGCATTCTCAGGTGTACCAGCACTCTCTCGAAAGTCAAAACTCACTCCGCCGTAACTGTATCCGTAGTTGTAAAAATCCCATGCCGAAGACTGCAGTTTCCCCCTACAACATCCGTTTGACCTTCAAGGCACCGCCTTTCTTCCAACCTAACCCCCCCTTTCTCACCATCCCCAGTCTTCCTCCTTCTCAAAGTCGAATCAAATCACGGCCGGCATTAGGTGCTGGTGGACCACCTCGTCTACGAGATCAGTCCTTCCACCCGTCCCAACATATCCCACATGCCCCACACCTCCCTTTACGTGTGCAGGTGCTGGGGGGCCACCTCGTCTACGAGATCACAGGCGGCTCTGAAGAGAGGAGCGTGGCTCCTCTCCTCCTGCTGCAGCTCCATCAGATCACAGGCGGCTCTGAGGAGAGGAGCGTGGCTCCTCTTCTCCTGCTGCAGCTCCATCAGATCACAGACGGCTCCGTGACGTACGTACCGCGGGGAGGATCTGTTGGAGCTGGAGCCGGAGGAGAGGAGCCTGGCTCTTACTGTTTGAACTGGAGCTAAGTCTCGAACCTCCCCTCCTTCCACCCCTCCCCTTTGGCAGGTGCTGGTGGGCCACCCCCCTTGACTAAGAAATCACGGGTGGCTCCGTGACGCACGTACCGCGGGGAGGATCTGTTGGAGCTGGAGCCGGAGGAGAGGAGCCACGCTGATAGGCGTGTTTCTGTCCTTCCAGTCGCCAGTGGAGCTGCTCGGAGTCAACATCGCCCCCTCACTCCCCACCCACCTTACCGTCCTCCCCCCATTCGACCTTTGGCAGGTGCTGGTGGGCCACCCGGACTATGAGATCACAGGTGGGAGCGTGACCTACCGCGGGGAGGACCTGTTGGAGCTGGAGCCCGAGGAGAGGAGGCACGCTGATAGGCGTGTTTCTCTCCTTCCCTGAACCCTCTTTTACCCGCACACTCTCCTCCCCTCCTTTCACCTATCCCCTTTTACAGGTGCTGGTGGGTCACCCTGATTATGAAATCACGGGTGGCTCTGTGACGTACCGCGGGGAGGATCTGTTGGAGCTGGAGCCCGAGGAGAGGAGCCACGCGGGCGTGTTTTTGTCCTTCCAGTCGCCCGTGGAGCTGCCCGGAGTTAACAACGTCGACTTCCTGCGCCTCTCGTGCAACGCGCGCCGGGCAGCTAAAGGGCTGCCCGAAATGGAACCTCTGGAGGTGAGGAGGAGCGAGGAGTGAGATTTGCTCTTTGAGGGAGGGAAGGACGAAGAAGCTTGAGGAATGTGGTCGGGGTTGGAGGAAGAATGGGTGAGAATGTGGCTCACCGTGTGTCAGGGTAAGCCCTCTCTCTCACACAGAAAATAAACAAAATAGGACGCTGCTCGCGCTCTCTACCTGCCCCCTGCCAGTTCTATGGCTTCCTGAGCCCCAAGCTGGAGGAACTCAACATGGACCTCAAGTACCTGCAGCGCAACGTGAACGAGGGGTTGTGTGGTGTGGGGGAGGAGGACATGCATCCTGAATCCTTGTGTTTTTCCCCTGTGATTACCCGTTCCCACACCGTCTCCCCACCTCTTCCCCCTGCCCTGCCAGTTCTACGGCTTCCCGAGCCCCAAGCTGGAAGTGCCTGCACTCAACATGGATCTCAAGTACCTGCAGCGCAACGCAACGTGAACAAGGGACCGGCGGAGGGGAGAGAGGGGGGTATACATGCATCCCTAAGCCGTCTGTTCACCCATCCCCACCCCACCCTCCCCTGCCAGTTCTACGGCTTCCTGAGCCCCAAGCTGGAGGAGCTCAACATGGATCTCAAGTACCTGCAGCGCAACGTGAACGAGGGGTTCAGCGGCGGCGAGAAGAAGCGCAACGAGATCCTCCAGCTCGCTGTGCTGGACGCTGAGCTGGCCATCCTGGATGAGATCGACTCAGGGCTGGACGTGGACGCGCTCAGAGACGTCGCCACTGCGGTCAACTCCCTGAAGCGGCCTGAGAAGGCGGTGCTGATGATCACCCACTACCAGCGTTTGTTGGATTACATTCGCCCCGACTACATCCATATCATGGTGCGTGCTTAGTTTGGGTTGGGTGGGAGCGAGCGAGCAGAGTAGGAGGAGGGGGGGGGGGGGGGGGGGGGCAGGGCAGTCTAGTCGAGATCTTCCAGCTCGCCGTGCTGGACGCCAAGCTGGCCATCCTGTTGCAGAGTGCTGTCGCTGGAAACGAATTCTCACAAACACTCTGCGACGCCAAGCTGGCCATCCTGAACGAGATCGACTCGGGGCTGGACGTGGACGCGCGTCTTGAATGTTTGCTTGGTAACACCCTGCAGCTTTCCTGGAGTTCCATACACTGGGGTGCCTGCAGGAGCAAGGCCGTGTTGTGTTGACTGGGGATGCGTCTCTGGCATCACAACTGGAGTCGACTTTAGAGAAGACTGAAAGGTTGTCTCACGACTCAAAAGATCATCTCACTACTGGAACTTGTTTTTCTCATCCTGGTTCCCCAACCCATGCCGTTTCATAAGGTATCTTGGTGTGAGTGCAGGAGCAAGGCCGCATTGTGCTGACTGGCGATGCATCTCTGGCATCACAACTGGATGAGACCTTTTACCTCACTTAATTATTGGGCCTTTTTTTCTCTCTTAATGTTTCCCTCCGAACCATGCTGTTTCATGGTACTGTGTGTCCTGGTGAGTGTGCAGGAGCAAGGCCGCATTGTGCTGACTGGCGATGCATCTCTGGCATCGCAGCTGGAGGAGAAGGGTTATGCGGGCATTCAGAGCTAGAAGGCCATGGTCATACTTTAAGGGAGCCTAAGAAAAGGTTTGACTGGTGATGCATCTCTAGCACGCGTCTCTGGTGGGCATCACAGCTAGAGGAGAAGGGGTATGCAGGCATTCAGAGCTGGAATCCATGGTCGCCGTGTCTGTGTTCCCTTTTTGGCTGGGATCTCTTGTTGACAGTATTGGGGTGAATGTTATATTTCCTATGTTTGCCATCTAATGTGTGGGAATACTGTAGCTGTAATAATCACTCTGAAAATACAGACTGATCAATGCTCAGAGGTGGAAACAATCCGTCCTAAGCGCCTCTGTCGTGTCGAAACACTAAGTCAGAAGCGAAGCGAAGTATATCGAAGCACCGGCGAGTCAACCCTCGGAGGTTGAGCGGTTGCTAGAGGTTACGCGAAAGTCAAAGGTCAGCGACCTTTGACCTGACAAGTACAGCACGATAGCAAGGACACACAGCTGACTCGCTACATAGCAGTTGCCCGAGTCGTCACTGTATCGAACGGCAACAGCAACAGTAAAGTAGTTATAACCGAATCTTTTCATATTCCCTGTATTCATATATAACCTTGTACCTCTTTGCTTCAATCAACTTACTTTGCCCTCACGTACTAGCGCAAGGTGGTTCACAACCCTTTAATTAACGCTTCCGCTACTACGCCAACTCTACCCAGAGTTCAACCCTGCAAAGATCCTAAGGGCTTTTCAGCCCAACATGGTATGAGAGCAATCAGGAGGAATTCAACTTCTATACCGACAACATCAATTAGCATGGCTACACAAAAGGAAAGGAGCAACTCCAACGGCTCCCAGGGCACTACTCCTACTCCACCTCCTGCCTCTGGACTACAGACAGAGGAGGGCACGGCAACAAGACCCAGAGCAACATCTACCGAGACTCCCGCGAATCAACCTGCAGACTTCAACCAGAGCATGATGGAGAAGTTTTTCTCCTTCATGTCCTTCTACGAGCAACACCAGCAATCGGCACCTGCGCAGTCACAACAGCAACAACAACGGAGCAACACCCATGAGTCTCGACGGCTCATCATATGCACGAGGAAATCAACAACAGCAGCCTACCTTTGCTCCGTACGAGCGCGGGTCCACCAGCTTTATGCCACACCCACAGCCTTCACCTGGACAAGAAAAATCACTGGACCCATTACAAGTTCAGTCGCTGTTCGCACACGTTCTGAAGATGCAGACGTCAAGACCCTTCGATGTGTAAAGAAATGAAGGAATGAATGAGCTAGCAAGCAGGTGGGTACAAGTAGGAAAACCTAGAAGTGTTGTACCCCATATTGTCTACCCCACTACAGCCTACATAGACTATAGCATATGAGTTTTGTTGGAAATAATCGGTCCTAAGCGCCTCTGTCGTGTCGAAACACTAAAGACACAAGTGAAGCAACGCATATCGAGGCACCAGCGAGTCAACCCTCGGAAGTTGAAGCAACAGCTGGAGGTTACGCGAAGGTCAAAGGTCAGCGACCTTTGACTTGACAAATGCAGCGCGACAGCAAGGACACACAACTGACTCGATATTGAGCAGTTGCCCGAGTCGCACTGTATCGAACCGCAACAGCCAGCAGTAAAACAGTTATCATTCGTATCTCTTCGTATTCCTTGTAATCATATATAAAATCTTGTATCTCGTTTTAATCAACTTACTTTGCCCTCACATACTAGCGCAAGGTGGTTCAGAATCTCTTTGTTAACGCTTCCGCTACTACATCATTCTACCCAGAGATTAACCCTACCAAAGATCCTAAGGGGCACTTAGCCCAACATGGTATGAGAGCTGGTTAGGGTTAAAATTCTATTTCCCCTTAAATTACACCAAGAGACATGTCGACCAGAAAGGAGAGGAGCTCCTCCAACGGCTCTCCTGGTACTACTCCTACTCCACCTCCTGCCTCTGGCCTACAGACAGAGGAAGGCACAACAACGAGACCGGCCGCTGGGTCTACTGAAACACCCGCAAACCGAGGCGCGGGCTTCGATCCAAGCATGATGGAGAAGTTCTTCTCCTTCATGTCCTTCTACAAGCAGCATCAGCAAGGAGTACCTGCGCAATCAAACAACAGCAACAACAACAACAACAACGTGACACCCATGAGTCTCGATGGCTCATCCTACGCACACGGGAATCAACAACAACAACCTACCTTGGCTCCGTACGAGCCCCAGCGCGGCTCCGTCAGCTTCATGCCACAACCACAACCTGCAAAGGGACAAGAAAGAACGCTGCACGCACTACAAGTTCAGTCGCAGTTCGCGCACGTTTTAAAACTGCAAACGACAAAACCTTTCGACGGGAAGGACTTCTTTACCTGGTCGTTCGGATTCGAGGTGATGATGGAAGGAGCGCAAATCCTTGGCTTCTTCGACGGGTCCCTGCCATACCCAACAAACGACACACAGTATAAGAAGCAGCAGTACACCTATCAATCGATGATGGCGTACACGATACTACTGAGGACCATCACCCCGACTCAACAGCAGAACATAAGGACTTACCGAGGTTATGGCAACTCCGCGGAGCTCGCATACAATCACTTGAAGAACCTGTATCAAGCAACAGACAGCGTAAACCAAAGTCGGTTAATGGCGCAGCTGACAACAATCGAAATGAAACCAGGCGAGAAGGGAATGGTGTATATCAGTCGCTGCCGCGAGCTGCGCGACAAGCTTCTTCGATGTGGAGGATCGATTTCAGAAGACGCCTTCGTCACGGTTGTCATCGGCGGTCTTGGTCCTCACCGGCGCTCCACTCGCGCCATACTACGAGCACACGAGGGAATCTCCAAAGCAGCACTCTGCGTCAAAATCCATGCTGAGCAGGAAGACATGGACTTGCAAGAAGAACGACACAAGAGAAAGGTATCAGTACCCAAATTCGCGTTTCACACTCAACGGCGCCACAACAACAACAACAGTCGACCAAAAATCGTACCTCCGTTCTGCCACCTCTGCAAGACTTCAGGGCATCCTCGTACGCACTGCCCGAATCGACAGCAGCCAACGTCGCCACAACGCCAACTTCGCCCTTCAAGCAGTCAAGTCGCTCAACGCAAGCAAATCCGACAACTTCGGTACAAGTCTCAACAACATTGACGGGACAACCTGCGAAAGAAACAAGAAACATCATCAGCTGCATGGCAAGGCTGAGCAACTCCTGCGTAACTGAGTCACCACTATATTACTCACCAGAAGAACAACTCGACAACAGCACGCCTCGCCGCGAGTCTGTTCAACTGAACCCGACGTACGCCGCCATCGCTCAAAGCGAACCGTCCGGGAAAGACACATGGTTCTTGGACAGTTGCTGCGGACAGCACATGTGCTCCTCGGGACACTTCGCTCAACGCGAGCACCGACTTTATCGAGAGGTCGTCATCACAGTCGCCAATAACCAGAACCTGCGCACACGACGACAAGGGATTGTGCAACTTCAGTCACGAGAAACAAATGTTAGACTACAGATGTCAAAAGTACTAATCGCGGAGGGACTCGGCTACAACTTACTGAGCGTCAGTCAGCTGATGGCGAAAGGCATACATCTCGAAACAGACAGCACCACCCAAGAATTCAAGTTGTATCACGGGAGAGGAGGTCTCTACATCGGCAAGGCGGTCCTCAAGAACAACGTCTTCGTCCTCGATTTTGTCCCTGACCTTGGCACCGCCGACAACGACGCCATCGTTAACTTCACCGACTGGACACATCCTCCAGACCTTGATCCAGACTTCAGTCCGGAAGGCTTTTGGTATTCACATACCATTCCTGAAGCAGAACGAACACGCGCGTTAGTAACAATACAACATTCGGCAGCAGCAAAGACAACATCGGCAGCAGCAGAGACAACATCGGCAGCAGCAAAGACATCATCGGCAGCAGTAGAGACAACATCGGCAGCAGCAGAGACATCATCGGCAGCAGCAGAGACATCATCGGCAGTAGCAGGAACAACAACAGTAGCAGCAACAACGACACCAGTCCTCGTTGACAAAACACCACCAACACCAGCACAACAGCTCCACCCAGCACCACGAGAAGTTCATCGTAGTGCAAACTTCACCACCAGCTTCTATTCCAACTCCGATATGTACCGACGATCACCCGGTCATCGCGCCGACGAAAGCACCTGGCATGCAAGGATGGGACACCCAAGCAACACTGTGTTAAACAACACAATAAGAGCAGGAGTCCTTGACAAGGACTCGTTACTACTACTCGACGGCGGAGAACTCCAACGGGCACGAGGAACATGCCTTACCTGCCCCGAAGCCGACTTACCACATCGGCCGTTCGCTCCTCGTCACAACCCGAGCGCACCCGCGTACGCACCACTCGAAAAGGTGTATAGCGACATCCTGTACAATCGGGAACCAGGACAAGTAATCTACAACTACACAATCACCTTCATCGACGCCGCCACCCGTTATGTCCGGCACCTAAACCTACCCAGCCGCGACCTTGTCCTCGAAGCATTCGCTGCTTGGCTACCAGTAGCAGAGAGAGAGTCGGGCGTAAAGCTGAAAAGCTTCCAGTCAGACAGAGGAGGAGAATACACCTCTCAGCGATTCAAGCAGTACCTGGCGGAAAGGGGAATCAAGCAGCTCCTCTCTCTTCCCTACGCCCATTAGCAGCAAGGTGTAGCAGAAAGAATGAACAGGACTCTGCAGAACAGCATGCGCAAACTGTTACGTGGCATGCGGCTACCCAACCACCAGTGGCCTGCAGCAATGGACCACGCTGTCATGCTGCACAACTTGCTGTCGTCATCGTCGCTTCCGAACAGCGCATTACCGCATCTGCTGTGGACAGGGAAACAGGGCAGCACAAAAATGTTACGAGTGTTTGGATGCATGGTACAGTATCGACCCCCAGCAGCACGAGCGGGCCGATTTTCACAACGCGCACAGTGGGGACTACACCTCGGCATCGAAAAGAATTACAACGCGTGGAAAATCTTCGACGTCCACTCCAAG